CCCCCCCCGCGCGAAAACTTTCCCCGCCTCCTACCAGAGGAGTGGGGAATCGAACCCGGTGCTCCCAGATTAGAGTCCGAGCACTTAACCACTACACCAAACTGGCTCTCAATTGCTAATCACAGTGCACTATTCACATGAATAGGATTTACATTTAAGGATTCGTGATATCGCCCAGGCTAGCCCAATCTGGTCAGATCTTAGAAGCTAAGCAGGGTCAGCCCTGGTTAGTACATAAACAGGGAGCCACCGAGGTAGTCCAAGGGTCGCTACACAGAGGCAGGTAATGGCAAACCACCTCTATTTGTCTCCTGTCTCGAAACCCATACGAGGTCACCGTCAGTTGGTGTACCTGAAAGGAAGGCTACGGGTTTTCGCATGAATGCCATCCCCCAAAAATAGGTGTTGTCTTAAGTCCTCATACAAAGTTACAGATATGTGTGGTCAGGGGTCCTTTCCTGCAGGAGTGCACAGGAGCGGAGCTCCGGCAGTAAAGAGCCCAGGGGGCGGGCACATGCAACAAGCCCCACCCCCTGCTCCCAGCAGCCCTCAGTCAGAGCAAGAAGCAGCTCTGCAGAGCCTCCCCACTGCAGAGCCCCCCCGCCCCCGGTCCAAAACAGTCCCCCCCCCCAATAGCTAGCAATCGAAAACAGTCCAGTGGTGGGTGTTGCCTTCTGACACACTTCCGGTGATGTCAGGGGGTGTGGCATATGCAAATGAGTTATGCTAATAAGCCCCTGCACCTCTTTTTCTATGAAATGACCCCTGTGTGTGGTAATAAAACTCTTCTTGTGATAACCTTTTTAAAATAATATCATACTTTTTATTTTTGAAAAACAAATAGTATAGAAAAAATACAGAGAAGAAAAAATAATTATATATCGCAAGCAGACAATAAAAGATAAGAAATATTTCTCCCCAACCCTTCACTATATTAAAGGGTTTTTGGAGCACTAAGGTACAGTAAACGTTACTTGTGTTGATATATATTCACATTTTGTAACTAATCTGTTTCACTTTTTTTCTCAATTAACATTTTATTAATAATTAACAAAGAACAAGTAACAATACAGTTGAAGTATGTTAACATAGAATATTACACATACACTTTGTAAAGCAGAATAAAACCATATTATCATCTTAACATTTTTCTGAGTAGGCGAACAGTAATAAGTTATTAGTTTCACCATTACTGCGTACTCAGTACTGCATACTTTTGCTGTTACTGCACATTCACTGCTACTTTTGGCAGATAGGTAATATAATAAAAATACAAAGAGAAAGGTAATTATATAACAAAGAATAGAAAATAGAAGATATCTCTCCCCAGCACCACACAAATTTTTTAAAACACTTTATATGGAATATGGTATAAGTAACTCCTTGCGTATAACCTTTTAAAGAGAGGGTCATCGTACATTCAGGGTTGTTTTCCTTTTGGGTAAATACGGTAATATGCTTGTGGGATAAAATCAGGGGTTTTTTTCCTCGAGGAATGTGCCGGAATGGAGTTCCAGAACCTCTTTGACAATTTTTTTTAAATGTTTAAAAGTTCATGAGTTTTCAGTATACAGATGGAAAACTTTATTTCCTTTTTGAGAGTTCCGGCACCTCTTCCCCCACCCCCCAAAAAGCCCTGGATAAAATCAGTATGTTTTTTGACATATTACTTCAACAGCAGACATTTTGTACTGTTGCTCGGAGCCTCTGTTTGGTTTTACGGTTCTGTCAGGGGTAGCCAGCCTTGTAGCTGTTGGAAACCCAATAATACTTCAGGAAAGCACTGCCCCGCGGGAATCGTGAGCCGTGAAGCAGAACACACCGGTCTAGAGCAACTGCGGCCAACCGTATGGAGAAAGCCGGGCAGCTTCATCATCACAGGAATTGTTTTTTTATTAACCTGTGCCTTTGCAGTGATAAAGTACCGAGTGACCGTGCAGACCGGGTCGGTGAGTGGAAGCGGGACAGATGCCAAAGTCTTTACTTGTCTCATCGGGGACCAAGGAGATACCGGAGACCGGCTCCTCAGCAATAGCGTGAACACTACCAACAAATTTGAGAAGGGCAGTGTAAGTTTCTCTCTCTCTGGGAGGGGGGGTTTGCTTAAAAACCTTGTGTAATATGTGTGGAGAGGCAGAAAGAGAGAGAGAAGACACCAGGGCCAATCCAGCTCCTGGACCCAGAGATGAAGAAGAAGAGTTGGCTTTTATACTCCGCTTTTCTCTACTTTAAGGAGTCCCAAAGTGGCTTACAGTCACCTTCCCCTCCTGTCCCCACAACAGGTACCTTGTGAGGCAGGTGGGCCTGAGAGAGTTCTGGGAGAACTGGGACTGGCCCAAGGTCACCCAGCAGGCCCCATATGGAGGAGTAGGGTTGCCAAATCCGTTTGTTCTCGCGGCGAGGGGCTCCCGGACGGCGTCCCTTGCGCATGCGCCGCATGCATGTCACCCGGATGTGACGTGATGACGCCGGGCACGCTGGGGGCGGGGCCACAGCCATTTGAGGGGAAAACTCTATGTTTTCCCCTCAAATGGCTGTGGCCCCGCCCCCAGCGTGCCCGGCGTCATCACGTCACATCCGGGTGACATGCACGCCGGGGTGGGGTTTCACCCGGGGCCCGATCCGGCAGCGGCAGAAATCGGGCTTCCAAAGCGGGGGGAAATCCGCCCCCCGGGGGGAATTGGCAGCCCTATGGAGGAGCAGGGAATCAAACCCTCCCTCTGGTTCTCCGGGTTAGAGGTCACTGCTCTTAACCACTACACCACATTAGAGAGCCAGTTTGGTGTAGTGGTTACGAGCGCAGACTCTAATCTAGGAGAAAGGGGTTTGATTCCCCACTCCTCCCCATTCAGCTGCTGGTGTGACCTTGGGTCAGTCATAAGCCCCACCCCTGGCGCCGGTATGATGACATCACCCGGGAGTAATGTCATCACGTTTCTGATGTCGGGGGTGACGCTCTAGGTTTTGGGTAAGACTCTATGGTTTTGAGGCCTAAAAAAGCCATAGAGTTCTGCCTAGAGCGTCACCCCCAACATTGGAAATGTGATGATGTCTCTTCTGGGTTGGCAATGCGGAGAGACCCCCATGCAAAACAGGAGGGCCAGACAAGAGGAATCTGATCCCAACATGGGGTTTCCCTGATTAAAACACATGAAGCTGCCTTATACTGAATCAGACCAAGTGGTTTATCAGGGTCAGTATTGTCTACTCAGACCGGCAGCTGCTCTCCAGGATCCCAGGCAGAAGTCTTTTACCTCACTCACAGCCTGGTCTTGTCTTTTCAACTGGAGATGCTGAGGATCGAACCTGGGACCTTCTGCATGCAAAGCAGATAGGGCTGCCAAATGCCCCCGGGGGGCGGAATTCCCCCCACTTTCAAGCCCCGATTTCCGCTCCCGCGGAATTGGGGCCCGGGGAAACCCCACCCCCGCGTGCGCGTCACCCGGAAGTGACGTCGCATGCTGGGGGCGGGACCACACCATTTGAGGGGAAAACTCTTTGTTTTCCCCTCAAATGGCGTGGCCCCGCCCCCAGCGTGCGACATCACTTCCAGGTGACGCGCAGGCCTAACACGCCAGCCGGGAGCCCCCCGCTCCCGGCCAAGAACCAAGGCCTAACACGCCAGCCGGGAGCCCCCCGCTCCCGGCCAAAAAACATTTGGCAACCCTAAAAGCAGATGCTCTACCGTTGAGCCCCCCCCCCCAGCTGTCCAAGGATATTGGGTCAGGCCACCCCCTAAGGTAGCAGAGTTCGAAAGCCACTGAAGAGGAGAAAATGATCAGTTATTTAATCTGCCTGTCTGTCTCTCACCAGGCGGGGGAGATTGCCTGCCTCAGCTTTTGAAACATTTAGAGCTGGCAACAGGTGGTTATCTTTTCACTTCTGGCACATGATCATTACGTAAAGTGATTTGAAGCTGCATCTACAGGAGGACTCTAATCTGGAGAACCAGGATTGATTCCCCACTCCTCCACATACAGCCAGCTGGGTGACCTTGGGCCAGTCCCAGTTCTCTCGAGAGCAGTTCTCTCAGAGCTCTCTCAGCCCCGCCTACCTCACAGGGTGTCTGTCGTGGGGGAGGGAAGGGGAAGGAGTGTGTAAGCCG